GGGGAGTATAAAATGATCAGGGGGGTTGGCCAACTTGTAGATTGTCACTGAAAAAAATTGTATGTAAAAGGGGGTATGTATATCGCTGGAAACTCAGTGAGCGTTTTATGTTGTTATTGAAAAAAATTGTGTTTCGAAAAATTTCCCCTAAACTGCAATGCCGCAAAATTTGTGAAACTTTAATGCCTGCATGGTTAGTTTGGGGTCTGCTATTGTCTTTACCACTAAAATTATTTTGAAGAGTAAATTTTCCAATTTACAAAAATGGCTTGCGCATAAAATGTAAGGCTTTAAACGCAATTTGGATTCACTATAGGGTTCGTAGTCTCCAAGTCCAAAAAAATTCAAAGACTTTCAAAGATTTTTTCTGCCTATTTTCAAAGACTTTTCAAAGACCTTTGAGAGCAATCAGGTGTCGAAAAATACCATAACCATTTTTACCCCGAAAAGTACCATTTTTACCAGGTAATTCAGTAGTCCCGTCAAATCACATCCTAAAATACACCTTTTCATCGGCGATATTTGCGAAAATCTTGCTTCAATCAATCTATTTTATTAGCTAGGAAATCGTATAATCAAATACTCACTAAAGAATTTAAAGACTTTTAAAGACTTTCTTCGCTTTTTCATACAATTCAAAGACTTTTCAAAGACCTTAAAGACCTGCATTCAAATTTAAAGACTTTCAAGGATTTGAAAGACCGCTACGAACCCTGTATAGGGTGCAAATTGGGGAGGTGGTTTATGAACTATCAAAGTACCAGGCAATTTGGTGTACAAGTCCGTAATGTAAACAAATCCTTTGTTTACATTTTGAGCAGCTATACTGTTTGTAAAATAAGACATACTAATTGAATATCTAACACTTTTCTGGTTCGCTATTGTAAATGAATATAAACTCTACGTTTCAACTCAAAAAAGTTCGAAAGATGCAAAATTTGGGCAATGTCTATTTCTGCGGGTCCCCCTTTGTTATGAGCAGAACTGATGCGCAGAATGGATTTGACATGGTCTTTAAGTTCTACATCGTTTTGTTGAAGCATTCGCAGTGCTTGTTTTATCAGACCTAAAGATACTCGGCTTCGCCTCGTATCTTTATGGGATAAAACACTGTTGCTCATAGTGCATAAATTACTCTGCAGTGTTTGTAACACTGATATAGTATGACCACAGACACAGATGAGGTATTTACCTCATCTGTGCCACAGATTAGGAGTCCTCGTAATCTGTGAAAAGAACAATTTAATTAGCCTGAGTTCAATGGACATTTGCATGCATTATAGACTAAATTTTGATCTAGACAAAAATTTCATCATAGCTTGAAAGAGCATCACAAAATTAGTAATATTCCAAGTTTCGTAGCGAAATGTTGTAAAATGCAGATAATATAGCCTTGCGAAGTTTGCCGTTTTTCAGTCATTTTGTATTACGCACGGGAAATTGACATCCCAATCGGGTGTCGGGGCATCAATTTCCCGTTTGTAATACAAAATGACTGAAAATTGCAAATTTCGCAAGGCTATATTATCCGCATTTTACAACATTTCGCAACGAAACTTTGGAATATTACTAATTTTGTGATGCTCTTTCAAGCTGTGATGAAATTTTTGTCTAGATCAAAATTTAGGCCTTGTGCACACGGACGTCGTTTTCGAGCGTTTTCAAAAACGTTTTTGTCCCTTTAATCGCTTTGATGCCCTGTTCACGTGGTTCAAAGGAAAATATCTCCAATATATTAAATAAACTACAGCTTCAGTCGTAAATTAATAGTTTTCGCATCCGTTTTAGCGTGAAAACGCAAATGAAAACACTCGAAAACGTTACCGTGTGCACGTAGTCTTAGTCTTATAATGCAAATGGTCCATTGGTTCAATTCAAATCGCGCGACAAGAATGGCGTGCCATATTTGCGCACGCAACCAATTAAACGACATGCATAAAACGCGCAAGCAAATTCGTAAACGCAAAAACGTTATTCATTGACGCGCAAACTGGAACACTTGCACATCGTTTGAAGTAAAGAGATTGAATTGAACTACAAAAGCACAGAATATATACAAAGATAAGTAAAATAGATTTATTTTTACTGTATTTTATTGCCAGTTCAATTGTTTTATTGTTAAAAATGTTTACTAATAGTTTCGCTTTAGATTCTTTTTCAGTTATTCCGAACAGCCGTAACTCGCAAGCTCAAAATGCGTCTTCGCGTGTACAACATGCAAGCGAAATTCAAACCCCGAAAGTAAGTTGAAATTGAATCATTACAAGTTTTGATACGAACATAATTATGCACAAATTCCTTCAGATGGAATTGAATCCGATTTAAAACCAACGCGAAATTTCGACATTATTTGCATCTTAGGTTGATTCAAGTCGTCAGAAATGGACACAGAAAGTTTTGAGCGATGTTAAATTGTTATGGAACATATCGGTATGGATTTTATGCCTGACTTGCAGTGTCCTCACTGGACCTCTAGGGAGAACAGCTTAGAACTGATACTGATAGAGCTATCCAGTATATAAATAGAGTTATAGTTTAGGTTTCTTCCTGTACTCTGTAGTAACACTGTATATGGATTAATAAGAGATGATCCTTACTGGACCTCTAGGGAGAACAGTTTAGAGCTGCTAGAGCTATCCAGTGTAAATAAAGTTAGTTTAGTTCACGTTTCCTCCTGTAGTAACACTGGATCAATAAGAGATGATCCTTACTGGATCTCTAGGGAGAGAACAGTTTAGAACTGATAGAGCTATCCAGTATAAATAAAGCTAAAATTATCCCCTTCAAACACACTAGGTTCATGTTGATATTCCAGCTTATGAAGAATATGAAACAATGTGTTTATTTCACAACCATTGGTAAGTACTGTAAGTTGAGTAGGTTAGGATGATTATAGATCAATTTGGTGTAAATATACTTTAACTATTTATCGGCTAGTAAACCCCATTGATTAATTGATTTTAATAAATCTATTATAAACTTCCAGGAGTACAACGTACGAAGATCTGAAGCTTCTTCGTCGCAAATGTAAACGTAGAGAAAAACACTCCAAGCCAGGTACAACAATATTACGAGTCGAGTTATACAAGAGTCCAGGGGCGGATCTCCAAGAGGGGTGCAGGTTTTCCATGGGGTGGTGCATGAGAGAACCTTACTGCCCACTCTCCTCTGCAGTCTGCAACGCTACTATCCCAACATTGCCATTATGTGAGTTGAGATGGCCAAATCTGCATGTTCGCCGTTCTGTTACGTTTTACATTATCTTTTGTTTATAAAGTTTATATCGGCTTTTTATCACGTATGCGTGACTGGACAGTTGCTGTAGCACAGTACAGAAAATTTGCTTGCTAAAGTACAGTATATTTGAAAATATGATTGTATAACAACCTCGACATGTTTACATATTTATTTTAACCATGATATTTAACTAAAGCATTCTGAGTAATTTCTCGTGAGCTCACAAATCGATTAAATCGTTTCACGCGCTAACAGTAGAAGTTCCTCTAATCGCTATTCGAAAAGCAGAAAATGTTTGATGGTCAAGCAAATTGTTTTAGGGTGGTGCTTGGACCACGTACGGCAGAACCGCTCCTGATTAGAGGGATGAATTTTATTGTTTATTTCAGGATTTTTGACATTCGGAGGTCACTGGAATCGAAGGAGCAACACTTGTGAGATTGCAGACTGTTTTTTTGGAGAGGGACATAAATACGTACCATAGTTATTTATATGTAACATTTTATTTTAAACACGTTATTTGTAAATTGTAATATTTATCTTTTATGTTCAATTAAAATCAACTGTATATAATAAATAATAAAATATAACACAATAATCCATTTTGTACATTTAGTAACAATAAATGAAATTGTATAGAAAGAAATTGAATTGTAAAACATTTGTGGCCCATTGGAAATATAGTAGGTGAAATATGGAATAAATATATATTAGATTTCATAAATCACATATTTCTTGTATTTTTTGTTAAGCGCGTACCAGCTATGAAAAAATTGTGCTGTTTGAATATGGACTTATCGAATTGAATTATCTCAATTAAAAGCAAACGTGAATTCAAATATAGAACTTAATACTTGCATACAAGGTCTATTGTATAAGCTATTAAGATATTCGTAAACAGACGTTAATGTAGATCGGGATTATTTCCGATGTTAGTTCCACCGACTCTGAGAAAATCGTTTTTACAAGTCTGAACGGAGAAATGTTTTCGATCGATGACCTCAAGCGGTTGCCTGACGGGATGACCGTAGATGGATGAAGACAGACAAGGAACTGACACTGACTTTTCCTAAAACACGCAATGGAAGATTTTTAACATTCAAAATTCATGATTGTTTCTGTGTTGGTGTAATGTACTCAGGTGAATATGATGCTTATGATGTTACTCTGAGTGTATATCCACACCGGGCGAGCTTGAAAAATATGCCTGACCACGGTGGGAATCGAACCTACGACCTTTGGATGCTAGCCCAAAGGTCGTAGGTTCGCATCCAAAGGTCGTAGGTTCGATTCCCACCGTGGTCAGGCATATTTTCCAAGCGTGCCCAGTGTCGATATGCACTCAGAGTAACATCACAAGCATCATATTCACCTGAGTACATTACACCAACACAGAAACAATCATGATTATTAGATTACATTAATATCGAAGGAACTAGATTCTGTTCCGAAATATCACATACTCGAAGCGACCAGACCGCGTAGCTCAGTTGGCAGAGCATTGGGCTAGCATCCAAAGGTCGTAGGTTCGATTCCCACCGTGGTCAGGCATATTTTTCAAGCTTGCCCGCTGTTGATATGCACTCAGAGTAACATCACGAGCATTCAATATTCAATTTCCATTAACGCGCGTAAAAATCTCAAGATGTGTTCGCACTGCTTGTTCCCAGTTGTTGACAAGTCTGGAACAAGTTATCATTTTGTAACAAGGTTGATGAGGTCAACAGACTCGCAACAAGTTGTTGCAACAAGTCTGATATCGTCTGCACGTAACAAGTTGATGACAACAAGCTCGTAGCAACTTGTTACGAACAGCCTGTGTTAGTCTTGTTGGAACAACTAATTCACCATTTGCGTAATAGACTAAATTTTGATCTCAACAAGTCTAGACAAAAATTTCACCACAGCTTGAAAGAGCATCACAAAATTAGTAATATTCCAAAGTTTCGTTGCGAAATGTTGTAAAATGCGGAAAATATAGCCTTGTGAAGTTTGCAATTTTCAGTCATTTTAGATTACAAACGGGAAATTGACAGCCTCGAAGGGTTTGGGGCTGTCAATTTCCCGTTTGTAATCTAAAATGACTGAAAATTGCAAACTTCGCAAGGCTATATTTTCCGCATTTTACAACATTTCGCAACGAAACTTTGGAATATTACTAATTTTGTGATGCTCTTTCAAGCTGTGGTGAAATTTTTGTTGAGATCAAAATTTGGTCTATTACGCAAGTGGTCAATTGTAGCAAATCTGTTACAGTCAGACTTGCTATACAGGCTGTATTAGTCTTGTTGGAACAACTTGTAGCAAGTCTGTTACCGTCATCAACCTTGTAACAAGGTGAGTTATCATCTTGTTACAAGGTTGATGACAGTAACAGACTCAACGTTCATTGCTTGATCAAACGAGAACAAGAGTTGCATGAAAGTTGACAAGCGAGAGTTGTCTTGTAGCAAGTCTGTTACCGTCATCAACCTTGTAACAAGGCGAGCTTGTTGTCATCAACTTGTTACGTGCAGACGATATCAGACTTGTTGGAACAACTTGTTGCGAGACCGTTGGCCTCATCAAGCTTGTAACAAGGTGATAACAACTTCTCCCAGACTTGTCGCAACAACTGGGAACAAGCAGTGCGCCAACACATCCTGATATCTGTAACAACTTGCGCGTTTTTAGTACACCTCACCTCATTATTGACATACAAGCCACGCGATTTGGCAAAGGCTCTGTCGTCGCGGTGAAGTTTCTGGTCATATCCAATGGTCACGTGATTTATACGGTCGTACGCTGACGGTTGTGAACGCTGGCAAATAAAAAGTAGCATAAAGTATGTATAATCTGGCATACATTCGTATCATTAACTAAGAATGTCAATCTACGGGAGGAATTCAGGAACACCTACCTTAGTTTGAGCTTTGTAATAACTGTCAGTGTTTAACATCATGGGATCATTGTCCTTTTCTGCCTAAAAGGAATAGAGTGGAATTTTATAATCTCGCGCAACTCTTGTTCTCGTTTGATCAAGCAATGAATGTTGAGAAAACTCTCATGCAAACTCTCGCTTGTCAACTCTCATGCAACTCTTGTTCTCGTTTGATCAAGCAATGGAAGTTGAGAAAACGTTCATGTAAACTCTCGCTTCTCAACTCTCATGCAACTCTTGTTCTCGTTTGATCAAGCAATGAAAGTTGAGAAAACTCTCATGTAAACTCTCGCTTCTAAACTCTCATGCAACTTTTGTTCTCGTTTCATCAAGCAATGAAAGTTGAGAAAACTCTCATGCAAACTCTCGCTTGTCAACTGTCATGGAACTCTTGTTCTCGTTTCATCAAGCAATGAACGTTGAGAAAACTCTCATGTAAACTCTCGCTTGTCAACTCTCATTGCAACTCTTGTTGATAATGTCGGGCATTCCTGGCGAGATTTTGCGCGCTATTTGAAATCCTACTAAAAATAGTTGGTCTATATATAATCAGAAGAGATCCATGCAGAGACCAGCCGAGATCTCGCAATGGTTACGGCGGCATGGGAATTTCCGAAATAAACTGCCCAAAAATAGTCATTAATTGCACGATGTTTAATAATGGTTCAATTATAGGCTCACATTAAACTGCTAAATATGCGAAAATCTATGTTTACATTCAACCATCTAGTCCATTCCACGGCATCTTGCCATTGCAGAGACCGACTGTTTGTCGTTTTAACATGTATCGTCGAACTAAAATCGTATTGCCCATTCGTAAATCGTAAACTCGGACTTTAAATATATCTATATATAACATTAAATTACCGACAAATCATACCTCGCAGACTCGTTTATGCAACTGCTGTCCATTATAAACCTATGGATACAAAAATAAAACAGAATTACGTCTAATGCAACGCTACTAAGAACACAACTTTTACGTAAAACTCTCGCATTGTACCGGTGTAAATCAAGCACACAACTCACGCATGAAAAACGTTGTGGGCTTGATTTACACAGTACAACTCAAGTTGTGAACACGTTGCATACGAGAGTTTTAGCCAAAGCATTTGTAGTATAAACCGACGTTTACAAAACAGGCAACACATTATTTAGCTATGGGACTACACGCATGACATACATTTTAAAATCTCGCATAACAACAACATTTAAACCATACAATTTTACCTGTGAAGACAGCCCGGGAGGTCGCATAATATCCAAAGCATTATTTCTCTGTTTTTCGTTCGGGTAATTCATCGACGGTTTTCTAAGGGTATCGGAAGAAGACATATTAGTATTTTATATATTTGTTTGAATTTAGTATGTATTTGCGGTTTTGAAAGGCATGTTTTGGTTCTACGATGCTATGGTAACGAAATTGTGTGCACACAACGTTTTGAATGGAATTTCCGGTTGTAACATAATCCCGCTATTTTGAACAGCGCTATCCAGCTTGTCGTTATCAATCACAGCAGATTTTCTCATGATAATAACGGATCAACAAGAGATGACCCCTACAGGACCTCTGTGGAGAATAGTTTAGAACTCATAGAGCTATCCAGTATAAATAAAGTTAGTTTAGGTTTCCTCCCGTGGTAACACTGGATCAAATAAGAGATGATTCTTAATGGACCCCTATGGAGAATAGTTTAGAACTGATAGAGTTATCCAGTATAAATAAAGTTAGTTTAGTTTAGGTGTCCTCCTGTAGTAACACTGAATCAATAAGAGATGATCCTTACTGGACCTCTAGGAAGAACAGTTTAGAACTGATAGAGCTATCCAGTATAAATAAAGTTAGTTTAGCTTAGGTGTCCTCCTGTAGTAACACTGGATCAATAAGAGATGATCCTTACTGGATCTCTAGGAAGAACAGTTTAGAACCAAGGATGGATTAAAGAAGATTTTTTCAGAAAAAAACTTCTTTATTCTTTAATTCATATAAAGAAGATTAAAAAAGATTAAAGAAGATTTTGTAAAACTTGACTTTCATAATGTGAATTTTTTTCAATATAACCACTATTTACAATAAAATATTTGAACCCCTGTAACCCCAGTTTTAACTCTGTAAGTCGGTAAGTCTGTAAGTATAAACTCTTAATTTAATATGTTAAAAGTTATATCTAAACCTAAAAAACTTATGAAGTATTGACGAAATAATCAACATAAAAATGATAAAATAATTAAAGAAGATTAAAGAAGATTTTTCTTCAAAACCAAAATCTTCTTTAATTATTTAAAGAAGATTAAAGAAGATTGAATTAAAGAAGATTGCCAACCCTGTTTAGAACTGATGGAGTAATCCAGTATAAATAAAGTTAGTTTAGTTTAGGTTTCCTCCTATGGAAAGCGATTTGGTGCAAAATTCAAGCATTAAAATTCTACCAGTTTCAACAAACGCCGATCAACATCAACCGCTTTTTTATCATACATTCAACAAACCGATTCAACATCAACCGCGTTTTTATCATACATTCAACAAACCGATTCAACATCAACCGCGTTTTTATCATACATTCAACAAACCGATTCAACGTCAACAATAATTCCGTTCCAAATTCAACTGTTAAAAAAGCCTTCTATGTCAACACCGATTTTTGTTTCACAACCAACACGAGTTTCCTTCAAGATCAACCTTAAAATTGTGCCAGATTCAAGCAAGCAAAATTTCAATCAACAAACCCCGAAACGCTGTCAACAAAACTCGAAACGTTGTCAACAAACCCAGTGTTTCCACTCCAAAAAATAATTTCCTTTTAATAACCTGAAATTTCCTTTTTTCAGCAAAATTTCCTTCCAAAATTTTTATCAAAATTGACAGATTTACCTGGTAATTAACATCAAAATTCTAGTATTAATTTATAGTAGATAACTCTGTATTTTGAAGGTTAAAATCAGCTCATTTTTATCATCCTCTAATATATGTCCTCCCATGGAATTTCCCTCCCATTTAATTTACTCCCCTTCTGGAAATTCCGGGTGAAAATTACTCTTCCCCTTGGAATTGCAGAGCCTGGATCCCCCTTTCCTGGAAATTCCAGGGTTAATGCACCCCCTCCCCTGCAAATTACAAGATTAATGTACCCCCTCCCTTGGAAGTTTGAAAGTTAATGCACCTCTTCCCTGGATATTCCAAGGTTCCTCAACATGGGGGGGGGGGGCGATAACAATTGGAATAGCCCATTTGAGTTTCCTCATTTCTAAATCATGATCAACAATGACAACATCGCCATCATTAATAGATTTATTTTTTGCTCCAATAAGCTCGAGTAAGTCGAATTCTATAAAAAACAAATGATACAATCATGAACAATACGTTAGAAAAGCTGGCTTGTTTACGTCACGTTCGCGCCATATTTCTTGTAGAGCATTGAACTAAAAATAAGTAGCAAATAGTTATTTTTTGTTCAATGCTGTAGAGTCCTCTTTTCCCACGATTGGCGACAACAAAAGCAAAAATACCCCATTTTCAAACAACGATTGGCAGACTGCATTTATTTTCCGCACGGGGGGGGGGGATAGTCGAGGACATCTTTTTACCAGCTAAATTGTGACCCCCTGGAATTGGGGGAAATGGCTTTAATTGCAGAACATCCACTTGATTTTGGTCTCTAGTCACCCCACCCCTCGGATTTCTGCAGTCTTTTTAAGACTTTTAACCCCTCCCCCTGGATTTTCTAAGGCCGTTTCACGGAGGAATTTGATTGGTTGTTCATATGGAATGCGCAGTTCAGTCTTAAGACTAAGACTCCACTCAGGAAAATTATCCGTGGATTAGAAAAGACAAGAAAATTTTTCTTTGTGTTAAAGTCATTAGTTCCAACCCAGAACTCACAAGATAAAGAAAAATTCTCTCGTCCGTTCCAATCCACGGATAATTTCCCTTAGTGGAACAGGAAACTA